CTCCCTTTTTCTTGTCTCTTCTGTCTTGTCCCCACCTTGGACTTTTACAGTTATTTCAAATAAAATGCTTTGTACAGTTTTTAAGTGGAATAGTTACAGCTATAAATGTCTCCTCAAAATTCTAATGTCTAAGTCAAAGGGCCAATTTTAAGTAGTTACACTCCATTATATTTTTAAATAGGGCACCCCCCCCCCACACACACACACCGCATTAACAAGTTTTAAAATCTTAGAACCTGCAAACAGCTTAACTATTGTGGCACTAAGGGCCCCTAATGAGCAGCTGTCTTTCCTTTTAAAGATCAAATGGGGTAATATATGTTAAAGTGCACAGCCATCTACAAACTGATATTAGATTGCCATTTAGCGTTACAGAGGCAAATTGGGTGTAATAACCCATAGGCTAATTTTCACAGGTGACGCAGGACGTCAGGAACAAGCCGAGATGGGTGTGGGGTTCTCGCCCTAGCGTTTCCCTGGGCGCCTTGGATGGAGGTCCGGGGCACCTGGGCTGAGCTGAAGGGTACGAAGACGCTGCGACTTCGCAGCCAGAGATGGGGTGGTCCTTAGAGTCCTTGTTCTGGGTAGCTGGCCCCGTTCCACTCCCGCTTATGTCGGGAAGCGCCGAGACACCGCTGCACGTGGGGCGCGTGCCCGCATTCCTTGCCGGGCTTGCGAGTCCCGGCGACCTAGTCTCTTGCCCCGCCGCCTTGGAGCGCTGCAAGCTGGTTGCGTGGAACAGGGTGGGTGCGGGAAAGCTCAGACCCCCGACCCTCAGAGTAGCATTATAGCATTTTCCCTTTGCTCCCGGGATGCGGCGCCGGGCTCCTCAACCTGCCCAGCTTCATTATCTCCCGTCCCTGTATAAATGCAATCGCTGAACCTGTAAGAGAATATCAGAAATGTTCCTGCCCCCGCCCCCTCCGCGAAGCTACCATTTTAAATTCGAAGTCTAAATGTAATCAAACTTAACTTGCTTAGAAATCTAAAATACAGACATCCTTGAAATAAATTCCCCATTTCCAGCCTGCAGAGGCTGTCTGGCTCCGTCCCAAACCTCCTGCCCACCCTAAAAGGATCAGGGAACTGAGATCCCATCAGACTCTTCCTGGTGATCATCTGCTTTATTTCTAACCTGGGGGGAAAAAAAAAGGTTAGCCAACGAATGAAATAACAAAAGGCCCATTGTGGATGTACGTTGCCGGTGTATGTTGCCTCCACTCACAGTTAAATGGAACACTCTGACTTGTTTCACTATTCTGTATTTATAGAAGGAGGATCAAGAGAGAACACGATTTAATATGTGCGGGTGAAATAGAACTAGAGATGTTCACTGCTGCAATTTAGTTTTTACAACTTAAAATTAGGCAAACATAGTGGTTAAAAATTTATTAGACATCACCTAGACAATTACTGAAATTAAAGGTTGACAGATTTTCTTTCTTTTTCTTTTTTTTTTTTAAAGGGCATTTCATTCGATTTCAGGTAAAATGTTCTAAAACAAAAAGAAAACAAAAAGCCTCTTCCACAAACTTGTTATCGCTAAACTTAAAAATTATATAAATGATCTTGAAATCATAGAGCAATTTCAATACTTGTTGGAGAACGAATTCCTAACGAAATGTGTGGGAGCAGTTCCCAGTCTGGGCATCTTTGAAATATCCCCCAGATGATAATTCTCACTAGCAGTAAAAGGTTACTTATTTATGTTTTATAGAATGTATCCTGGTTCTCTGTCTCCCTAGACTTGGGGGTGGATAAAAACAGCGTTTCAAAAAACTGGACTCAAATGATTAACATACTTTAGTGGAACATACTTTAGTGGTGTTCAACAGCTGGGTAATATCATCCATCCTCTGAACTGCATTTAAAATTTATATTACTACCACATAATTCATTCTTTCCTACTATGCACAAATTCATATCTAAAATTTGTTTTGTACTTCTTTATATAATTATGGTTCTTGAATTTATTTTAAGTCTTCCTAAATCATCACTATTCCATGTAGTTAAAGTGAGTCTATGGAAGGTGTTTGCATTTAGTGAACAGGATTGAATCTCTGATTTGCTTTAAGTTAAAAGTAAACAGTCACTAGCAGAATGGAGTTTGAACACATCTGTGTTGATAGAAGTCTGATTGACTACTTGTTCTGACCTTTAGGTTGTGGTTCTAAGCAAAGCCTTAAATAGAAGACAACTGGGTTACACTCTCTCCCTTCCATATACAAAACACCCTTCTTATGTCCTTCAAAATTGCACACACTCTCATACACAACACTTCAATTTACATCCCAATGCAGATTACAGAAAAGTACCTGCAATCCCTGCCATTCCTCTCCGCAACTTTGATTCTGGGTTTTGATTTCTGTGTCTCTACTGGAAAAGATATGTTAGACCCGCAAAACTGTAGGAAAATGTCAGATTTCCAGAGTTAGCGTTTCTGAAACTGAGGTTTGCTGTGGCCTCTGTTAAACTTCGAGGGGGCTTTGTTCCACTCAGACCCTGTGCCAGTTCTCTCTCTTGGTTGTGAAGACACTTATCCTCCTCTTCAGTTAATGAGTTTCACCTAGTCTGGCCGTTTGTGTTTTTATAAAAGATCTGCAGAGCACTAACTGCAAAAGAAAAAAAGCTCTTGCTTTGCATTAATCAAAAGGTGGAATTCTATAGCAAAAACATTTTCTTTTAATGTTTCAAGAAGCAAACCTTTTCCTAATTTCAGGATGTGCACACATAAACTCAATAAATTTCTGGGTGCAGAATGTTAAGCCTTTTGCAGCAATTCTTGTTTGGGTTTTTAACTACTTAAAGGAATGCTGAAAAGAAAAAAAAAGATATGACTACATTAAATATACTCTTAGAAAATATTGAATAAAAGTGTTTCTTCTTAATGATGACTTTTAAAAAACAGAGTTCACTTTATCAGCCCAAGGGATTCTTTGTTCTAGAAATAAATTGCCAAGGAAAAAACAGTCCAGGAAGATTCTTTTTTCCTTAAAAATGTTATCAAGTGCTCTTAGGCCATAAGCAATTATTGCTTTTGTAGTTACTGCGCTGTTAAAAAATTATATATGTGGAGATATATATATATGCATATGTGTAAATGTATATAGATACACACACATATACATATACTGCAAACCATGTGGACTTTAAAAACATGTATTCTACAACAATATGTATCAAATTGATATAAACAAGCATTTTGAACTTTGACATATCAGTGATAATTTTGCTGGCTTGGTTAACATTTACTTTATTGTCCATCCATTAATATGTTAAAAAAACAGCCCGAAGATTTTTCTGTAGGTTTATTGTACTTTGTCAATACTAATTTGTCTGCTGAAATTATTTCTTCTCATGTAGAAAGTTTCTAAAATTATATCTCATTTTTCAAAATATATTCAGTTCCTTGAAAAAGGAATGATGATCATTTTGCTTCTTTCTACGCCCCAGTGTGACAGAAACTGGGGTTATTAAAAAACAAAAAAGCATATAATATGTAAAATATAGTTTAGAGAAAGTGCAAATTTAACTTCTATAACACCTGCCTATGGATTCACTTTACACATTCAGAAAAATGTTCAAACAATGAAATGAAATATTTCAGGTTCAAACTCTTATTCTGAAACCTTAAAACCCAAAAGAGATTTGGGGTCTTTGATTACTATTTGTTCGATCATTTGTAAATCATGCTTTATCTATGTTCTTTAACTTTCATTAATTTATCAGCTCACATTATTCAGCTATTTCTAAGTATTTTTCCAATACCAGGTATTTAAATCATGAATAAACTGAGTTGTGATGTCACATCATTCCAACTAGTGTCTTAAAAACAAACAAAAAAAAACCCTGTACACTTAATGAAAAAGAAATGACCACTTGACTTTTACGAAAAAAGTACTTCAGGTTCTTTTAAGTTATATTTAAATATCCATTTGAAACATAGGAAATATAAATCAGTATATTAAAGAGTAAATACATTATTATACAATAAAACACCAACAAAATCGGTGCAACTCCTATTAAGTCCTAAATATGATGGAAAATTAAATATTTTAGTTATTTTTCTTTGTATCTTGATTACAATTCGATAAGACACCTTAATCTTTCTTCTTGACATACTTTGAAATAGACTGATGCTAATTTTAGCAATTTACCTTTGTTCTAGTACTTTGTCAAAATTTTCAAATTCAGACAAAAAATGCCCTAAAAAGAGTAAATAACATGCCTATAGAAGATAGGGTGTATTTATTTTATCAGTTGATTTGGAGAAACCAGATTCCATATAAAAAGTAGTTTATAACCTTATGGTGAGCTGCATCTGGGGATGGGGAGGGGGTGAGAATTCTCTTCTAGGGTAATATACAAACACTGGGGTGCCAGATGGTGATCAGAACATTTTAAAATCAACATTAAATTTAAAAAAGCTATATAGATTCATATAATCAGTACTTTTTGTTGTTTTTTTTTTTTTTTTACCCATTGCTCTATTTTACCTAAATGGCAATAATTCCTTTTAAATAATGTTGCTATGTGTACGATCCACCTTGAGCTACAATTCAATTTACTTTCAAACATTAATGCAATTGCACTTGCTGGGGGGTGGGTGGGGTGGGGCTTTAAAAATTCGTCTCCCAAACGTCGCTTCGAAATGGACTCATCGTTAAAGCTGGGTTGACTTTTAGAGCTACAAACACCAACAAAGTTTGCAACTAACTCTTAAGAGCTTTAGTTAGGAACATGGTGAATGAAGACTTAGCCAGATTTTCGTCTAGTTTAGAAGGAGGAAATCACCACCCTTAAACGTGGTGGTACATTATTCTGTCCTGGGGCTGTGGCTGTCTCCCACCCTCCTCAAAGAAGTTCAGAGCTGTCCCTTTCCGTGATTCGTTCGTTTTTTTGATCGCGGTGCACACAAGAGTCAGCTTCCACACGTTTCCCCCATCGGTTCCTGTAGACGATTGCCTCAGGCAAGACCCCTTTCCGGGGCGCCCGCACGGTCACCACGTCCTGCCATAGAGCAGGTTGGCGCCCAGCACGCCTCCGCCGTAGTCCCCGGCGGTCGCGTCCAGGGCTGCCAGGCCACCCCCGGGGCCGTGCAGCGCGGGCGGGCTGGGCGACAGCTCCTCGAGCTCGGGCGCGGGCGTCGGGGCCTGTGGCTGCGAGCCGGCCTGGCCGGGCGTTGGCGTGCCAGCGCCGTTCTGGCACGGCTTGCCGTCCTTGACCAGCACGGGCACGGCCACGCGGCGCGGTGACGGCGGCGGTGGCGGTGGCGGGCCCAGGCCGCCCTCCTGCTGCAGCTGCTGCGCCGCCTTGTCCTTGGCTTGCCTCTTCATCTTATAGCGGTGGTTCTGGAACCAGATCTTGACCTGTGTGGGGGTCAGGTGGATCATGCTGGCCAGGTGCTCGCGCTCAGGCGCCGACAGGTACTTTTGCTGCTTGAAGCGCCGCTCCAGCTCATAGACCTGCGCTTGGGAGAAGAGCACGCGACGCTTCCTTCGCGGCGCCGCCGCTGCGGCCGCGTGCAGGGGCGCCAAGGACTTTGCTGCGTCCGCGATGCCTGTCAGCGACCCCATGCCGGCCACGTTCACGCCCGCCGACGGTCCCATGAACCTGGAGACTGGGGAGGGGGCCGAAGGAGATGACCGATGAGCTCCAGGCCCGCGGGAACCTTTCCCGCCGCCGCTCGCGCTTACTTCACCTCGCAGCAGCCACGACGGCGCGGGGCCTCAGGACAGGTCCCAAGACACCCTGCGCGCCGCGGCCCCGGCCCCGGCCCCCTCCGCGAGGCCAGGGGCCCCGCACCCCTCGCGCATCCCAGGACCCCCCGCGCGCGCCGGCCGGGAGCTCAAGGACCTCAACCCCCGTGCGCCGCGGACCCGAGCTTCGGTACCCCCAGCTCCCTGGGCTGAGGCGGGAAAAGCCCGCGCCGCCCTCCTGCCCTCAGTCCCGCGATCCTGGCCCCGCTCACTTGACGAATAGCGCGGGTCCGGGTTGGCGCCGTACCAGCCGGTGGCCGCGGCAGCCGCGCCGCCCCTCATGCCGTCCGTGTAGGAGGGCAGCTCGCTCATGTTGCCCAGGCCACCGTTGCAGTAGCCGCCCATGGCGCTGTGCGGGAACTGCGAGACGCCCGGCGGCATGTGGTAGGTGGCAGCCGCGGCGGCGGCCGCCGCTGCCGCCGCCGCAGCCGCCGCGGCATTGTGGCCTGCCATGGCGTGAGGCGGCTGCATGCCCGCCACGGCCGCCGCCTGCGAGGAGGGGCCCGGCGGCGGCGCGCGGTACGCAGCGGCCGCGGCCCCCAGGGGCGCCCCCAGCCCGGGCGGGGCGCCGTCCATGGCACCGCCGAACTTCTTGTAGGTCTCCTCGATGGGGCTCAGGATGTCGGACACGGAGAAGGGCGTCGTGTGCTTGGGGCTCAACGACATGGCTCGGCGGACGGCCAGGTAGGGGGGCCCGGGGGCGGGCGCGGGCGGGACGCGGCGGCCGCTCGTCGCCGCCACCTCGGCAGCGGCGGCAGCGCCTGTGCAGAGTAGTCAGCGGCGCGGCGAGCCCCCGGAGCTGCGGGATCTGGGGTTTATTTTAGTCCGGCGCCAGGTTTACGACAGACTCGGGGGGCGGAGCAACATCCCAAACGAGCAAACAATGGTCATTGACATCTTTTTCTCTCGTCACCCCCTCCCCATAACGCAGGCAAAAAAAGGTAAGGGGGCAGTTGGGTGTTTCTTGAAAAGATCACCCCCCTTTGCTTTCTCCATCCTTGGCGCCTCTGTCCGCGCCAGTTACCCCGGCACCAGAAATAGAAACCGGTGTTGAAGCTAGACGTGAAGGACTCCACACTTGTCCTCATCCACACATAAGTTTTCCTGAAGTGACTTAGTAGCCAAGTCCAGTATAACTGGGGAGGGGGCAACGTGCTGCTAAGTTTGGGAGGGGACGGTTTGCAGGGCTTTTCTTTTCCTTTCTAGCTACCAGCCCCTCACTAGCTCCATCATCTAAAGTGTTAAAAAAAAAAAAAAAAGGCACCAGGAGAGCGCATAAAGAGAAGAGATACAATGACCGTCCTCGGCCATTGTAGGGCTCCCTAATTTATGCATCTTTAGATCCTTAAGCATCATTTTGCGGGCAACCGAACGGACACTTTCCAAATTAGCTCAAAGTATCCAAGTCCAAAGAAGAGAGAAAACAGACACTGACAAATACAAAGATGCTAACTTGTAAGTATTGTGTTTTTACTCTGTGGGGATGTAGGTTGAACAAGGGCACTTTTTTTTTTTTAATGTTTCATGGTTAGTTTGCATCTGTAAAAAGTTTTTTTTTTTTTAACTGTTTTTTCCCCTTTGTTTCCTCCCTCGCTTACCCCCCACCCATAGGATTTATTCCATCACTACACTAATAATAATAAAAAAAAAAGTCTCAAGTATTTCTAGTTGTTTAAGGAATATGAAAGTGTAGAGATCAGGTGAAAATAGTTTTTTTTTTTTTTAAATAGAAAACCACAGATAAGCTGATTAGAAAATTTTGTTTTGTCATCTTTTGGTTTTCAAATTTACCTGCATGGAAAAGAAGAACTTAGACATTAAGAATTTTCCACTAAATATTGATCAATACAAAGAATAAAACAAAGAAGTGTGCAAAACATATTGACTGAGTTTTGAAAACAGTCTTACAGTTTCAAAAAACATACTGATAACAGGGAAATGAAGATATAATTTTAAGTTTTCCTGAAGATTGGGTTAGGAAAAAGAAAAGCAAGGAGAATGCTTTTGGAAGTAATATTTGTTGTGTTTTTTAAAAAAGAAAGGAAGGATATGTGAAAACTATCAAAGGTTAACCTGAAGGCAAGAACAATGTTACATCTTCCTTTTTATGGTTGCTTTTGGCCCTGAGGTTGCAATCTCCTTCTTGTTTTGTCATTGTTTTAATCATTGTTCTGCTCATTTCAGGTAGTTTGGCAAAGAATGTGTCCTATTTCTAGGGGAGAAAAAGCCACATGGTCACCTATGGGAAGAAAGTGCAACTAGATTAGTGTTTAGAGTAATATTTATAAGTGCATACTGAAGAACAAAATTCAGTGTTATATATGAGTTATTTACAGACATCACTTATTGACTTAGGAAGATTAATATTGTTAAAATTTTTAATATGATGCTACTTTTACAGGTCTTCCCTGAACTTGAAACACCTGGGCTAGGTCTTCATCTTCACCTGTACAGGAATTACCTACTTACTTTTCCTTAATTAATAATACACAAAGAAGCCTTTATGTATGTATTTAAGCAATTACTGGGATCCTTCTGAAAACTCCAGCTTGGCTTTTACATTTTTGTTTTAAATTTATATTGCTTGTATTTATTACCTTAAATAAAAAAATAATAGAAAGTTATTTTAAACTTTCGTCAAAGACAAGGTAAGTAAAAATATTTGTCTTATAACATCTGTGAATGTAAAAGTCACTTGTGAGATATCATATTTTATTTTTCAAGTTTAAACATATTTCATAAATGAAATTGTTATTATAAATTCCATGTTGATTAGTTGTCCAAATTAAAGAGGTATTTACAAATTTTCCAGATGAATATTATTTAGTCTATTTTCAGGCAATACATTTCTTCTCATTTTATTTATAGGACATCAATATAACAATTTATAAGTGGTGGCACTACAAATTGTTGCTTATTTTACTTTTTAACTGTATTGGGTCATATTGCATTAACATCTGGTAGGCTCTCATCTTTAAATAAAAAAGGTGTTTATCATATCTGAAGAATCTCTGCAGAGAGTCACTTTCTGACTGCTTAGGAATACAGTGGACCCAATAGTACTTCTTCATTGGAGGTGAGAGTTCTAGGGGACAAAATCTATAATTTTCAATGTTTCTTTCTGTATCTATGGAAGTATCTGTATCTATTCTTTTTGTATCTGTGGAAGTTACATATGTTCATCTGGAAAACCTATTTGGATATGTGCAGATGATTTTAAATAGATGTAGTTTGGAGAATATATATGTATATTTAAATACAAAACAATTTGATATTCCATTGAAGCTTTTCACCAAATTTATTTCATCAGATTATTGTCTGCTGAAATTCTGACTGGGAATTTATACTTAGTTTTTAAATTACTATTGACTAAATTGGATTTTACAGGGAATATATTTCTCAGGAATGTTTTCCTGGTGTCTCACTCCTTCCCCTTTAAAAACAATGCTGGCACTCAGAAAGGAAAAAAAAAAAGCCAATATTCTCAAAGGGAATACAATGAAAAGAGAAGGCTCCTCTCCCCTCTCCCCTCCCAGTTCCCTTCTCACACTAATGTTACCTGTTTCTTCTGGGATTGTCTACATATCTTGAAGCATACCATCACTTTATATACGAGGCATAACATGCTCTATATGGTTTGGTACCTTTCTTTTTTAATAGTTAGATTTTTGTGGTTTCACACTTCATACTTAACACTGAAAACTTGGTAAGACAGCCTGGGGCAGATAAAAAGATTCAGTGGTCTTTCTTGGCCTTTTGATTAAATGTGGTATTTATTGAAAACTTCTGATGTATTAATTAACCTTAGGAACAAAAACATTAGGCAAAGAAATTCTGAAAAAAGCTGTCTTCCCAGAGTTTAGATTTGCTATTGACATCTCAGCAAGAGGGGCCTGGGAGGAGCCCAGAAACCTTCTGCTAGATCCTCTTTGAATTGAAGGTCCAGACCAGTACTGAGAGGGTAAATTAGTCTTTCTAGAGTAGCAGATAGATTGTCCTGAATTTCCTCATCAAGATGAACTGTGTTCGACAATATAACTCTGCTTGATACTCAAGAGTGCCTTTTAGAATCCAGACTCTTACTGTATTTGGGGTTAGTTTAAAAAGCATTTGTGAAATAATTCGATTAGTGAAATTTTCACATTGTAGTTTTAAAATATCATCTTTGCAGTTAAGAAGGAAAAAAGATTCATGTCAAAGACACTTGTATTTTGTAGTAAAACTGGAGGTTAGAAAGAGAAAACAAAACTGCTAGGGAGCTGAAATATAAAGTTTATTTTAAAATTTTTGCTAATTTCATCAGTTTCTGAAATCAGGTCCCTCCCCCCTTTTTAGTCCACCTAAGTGCTTTTCTGTTTTCAGTGTTTATTTCAATTATTTTAAATTTATTTTGATAATTTTATGCTTGTGTTAATATGACTTCATTATTTCTCTCTGTATACAGTGATTTTTCACATTTTCTTTACAAAATGCAAAATCCTTGCAATTTAACTACTCTTGAAAATATTTTGACTCATTCTTTCCTAAGATTCAGATGTTTTATATTAAAAATAGTTTTCTGTATTTTGATAAATGAATGTATTCTAAATTAGTACAATTATTAGTACAACCTAAGGATGAATAGTAGTTGTTAAAGACATTACCCTTGTTCAAATCATTGTAGTAATGCAGTCCAATTAAATGATTCCTAAAAACAAACAAACAAAAAAACCCCCAACCCAAACCAAACAAGAAACCACCTCTTTTACAGGAAAGCTATAATATTAGTTTTTATATTCATAGCAGAAAATAACATTAGGTTATAACAGGGAGCAAAAATATGAAAAATTGTTCAGTATATCACAATTCTCTCACCCTAGAATTGTGAGCTTGAATTTTGAATATTTTTTTGTATTTTAGAAGTTATTTTAGAGTGATACATGATATGGAAAAAAACAATGACACCTTTGAAATATAATTTTTATTTCTAAATAAAAAGTTTATTTATGTATCTTGCTTACATAGAGTTTAATTTTTTTAAATTAAGGTATTTCCATTGAACAATATCTTTGACATTTTTTACATATTTTAGAATGTCACTAAATACTTTTTTATAAGAAAAAAGAATCCTTTGACTTTTAAGCAAAATTATGTTTTTATGTACTATTTTGTGTGAGGAGCTTATTATTTAAATATTCACCCTATTACCACACACTGATTAGAATTACTATGTAGAACTTTTTAAAAATATACTTTTATAATCTTTTTCTTATATGCTATCAATTTTTGATGAGAGGTTCAATGATTTTAGATTTTCAATCTAAGAGGTTCAATGATTTTAATGTAAAGTCTTTTTCTCTATTATGTCTTATTAAAGATATATTACTTTACATTTATGAATTAAATTATAGTTGTCAAGGAAGGTATCAACTTTTATGTGTGAATTTTTTATGAAGTAATCAAATTATTTGTTGCCATCACTTTCTTGAAGGAGAACTCCAATTTTTGATACCTTGGCAAGTTTATTAGTAGGTTATTGCATTTGTTAATGAAGTTTCAACATGTACATTTTAGAAGACACAGAACAATATTATTAGAGAATAATTTGTCCAATTTTGTCCTTTTTATGTACTGCTAATGTTGAGGTGATATTTAACGTATAGACAGATATATATATATATATATATATATATATATAT